ACCTCTACTTACGTGCCAGGTTGGTCAGATAATAGCCGGAATATCCAATGACATAAATGGTGCAAACGGCAACAGCGAGCTGCTCCATCATTGTAGCACTGCTGTGCCAGTTTGCACACTCTGCTCCACCACAAGGAAAAACAAGGCTCCTGTCAGTGTGCAGCTGCCCACTGACAAACGCCTCAAGCAGGAGGATGCTCCTGCACTGAGCAAGCCCAAGAGCTGCTCTGACCCTGAGGCCTTCCGTGCACCAAGGCAACCTTGGGATGTCACCACGACAAGGTGGCATCCATGCCCTGATATCACAAAGCCAATGCTCTGCACTGCTCTGGGAATTGATGCAGAGCAACCCAACATTCCCTACAGCAAACACAAAATTGCCTGGGAGCTTCTCCTCTGTCACAAAGGGTCACAAATCCTTTGCTGGGCTGTGGGAAATGGAAAGACAGAAACTTCCACAGATACTGAAGGGTTTGATTTACAGCCTTGGAAGGAGCTTGGGTTCATGCAATGCTAAAGGTTCACAGACGTTGAGTCAAGAATTCATAAGCTTATGTTCCTATAGCTGTAAGTAAGAATATGCCAGAAGTAAATAAAAAACTGTATTGAGTGAGATGGTGGAGAGTTTTCAACTGTAATTGTGTGATTTTATAGAGTAGGCTATGAATCTAAATATTATCCTAAGAAGCACATGTGTGTAGGTGAGCTAGCAGTGTATTGGGTGAAAAGCAGACACAGTGCAGCAGAACTTGGCAAAGGTGAAAGGTGATTAAGTAATAATAAACTCCATGTCAGCTGTCCATTGGGCCAAAATGTGATATATTGCTGTGTAACAAAGAAACTCATGACTACCTTTGAGCTATGGCCCACTTGTTACTCCTCCAAAATCTCATGCCTTCAGACTGAGACCTTTTCTGATGCATTCCAGCAATAAATCGACTTCACAGCACCAGTGGTCCCACCCCTCGTTGTTTACAGCCTGACAATGGGCCAAACCCTGTTGTTCAAGAGATCCAAGAGTAACTCCAAGATTGCCCTGTGGAGAGAGAAAACAAAGAGAACTTGTCCTAAGAGAACAAAGATTGCTCCTCAGTCAAGGCAGGATGGATGGAACAGAGTTTCTAAAATGTAACAAGTAGCAGAAGCAGAGTAGTTTGCAGAAGAAATTGTTATACAAGCGCTTGTCCTAGGGAAATAAAACTGATGTTGCTAATAGGGAATTGATCATGTCTATTATTCGTTAGCAGCCATCTGAACATTTATACTGTTGGCTACCCAGGCTCACACTATTCTAACCCAATAGGAAAAACAGCACAAAAGTGATGTACACTTGTAATAAATGTTTCCAGATATACCACCCCTGGGGACCGTGCATCGTTCATGGGCTGCAGTGCCCCAAGCACCCACATCCTGCCCCACAACTGAGCTCTGAGATGGGACTAAACCAAAGGAAATTGGGATTTTGGCCACTGATGCTTCTGACTAAACCCAGGAATGCCTGTTCCTGTGCCAAAGGAACTGCACAGCCATCAGCCTGCTGCAGCACTGCTGGGGCATCTCAAAGAAGCATGTGGGCCTGTGCCTCACCCCTGGAGCCCCTGGGCACATTTGTGAGCCACAGAGATGAGACTGCAATGGTCATAAGGAAAGAGAAGAAGAAAGTCACAGAAGAATGGGGGAAGATGTAGGAGATGGTGGGAGGAGGAAGCCAGAGGGACCAAATGGGTAACTTTCATCCAAATTGGGAGCTATGAGGCAGGGACCCAAGAGATGTGGAATAGAGACCCCATCACCTGTGACTTCCTTTCTCAGCTGAAAAGAAAAAGAATAGAGAAATAGCTGGGTTTTAGCTGTGTGTCTAGATATGAAGCCACGTTACATTTTTGAATGGCTCCACAAAAATTCTTCCAGTTTTCTCCAAGCCTGCAGGTTCCCCTGCCCCAGGACCACCAGTGGCCAGTTTTGTTGGTTTTGCATGGGTTAAATTTTGGTGAGGAGGGAAGAAGCCAGCCATGGGAATGGTATTTCTGCTAAAAGGAGCTGCTAAAAGCTTTCTCCATGCCTGGCAAAACCAATCACTGGCTGGCTCTGAGAACAGGCCCATTGCTAAGGCAATTAGAAAAGCTGGAAACACTTTGATGATAACAGATTTAAGAGAGGAAAGAAACATGGGAAGCTCTCTTTCTTTCTGCCCTCCAAGGGGTGGGGAGGGGGCACCGAACCCCTTCCCAGCAGGCCATCTGTGGTGGTTTGGCATTTTAGAGATAAAAGCAGAAAA